ATATGTATTAATAAAAAAAAAAATGTAGTATACATATTACTTAAATAATAATTAATTGAACAGAATTGATTAAATTTAATTAAAACATTAAAAAAATCAATTTTTTTAGAAAATATTAAATATGTATACAAATATGCGAAAATCAATGAAAATTGACAAAATATGCACTTTATATCTAAAATTAACAAAATCTGCAAAATATATATTTAAATATTTAATTTTTAAACTCTCCATCATATAGAAAGTATTTCTAATTTGGTCTGCTATAAATTCAATGTATATAAAAATATTGAATTCATATCCTATATCCTAGTTCTTGTATGTGGTATTGATCAATGTTTATTCTTCTTGCTTCGTCCAGTAATGCTCTTACCATCTTCTCTAGTGTTAAATTGAACTACAATAGAGACAATACGTCACCCTGTTTTAATCTTGTTTCAACACTGAAAACTTCTGATTTAATAATCTCACTTAGAACATTTCCATACACAATTTGATTAATTTTATAAGTTTCTTTGGGAATCTAAATTCCTCCATTAAGTTATTAATACTAGATATATGTATGCTATCATAGGCTTTTCTTAAGTCTACAATCATCTGCCACATGTCCTGAAGGTATTCATAATTTTTTTCTATTATATGCCCTATAATTAATAATTGTTCAATAAGTGACCTACCTTTGCGAAAGCCACACTTCTGCAAATGATATTAGACAATTCAATAGGACTTTAGAGAAAACCTTATATACTGAGTTTAGTAGGAATATCCCTCAATAATTACTACATTAGATTTTTTTTCCCTTCTTATAAAGTGGTACAGTTCTGTTTTAGTCCAGCAGTCCAACATTATTTCCTCCACCTCATGATAGAATATATAAATAAAGTTATACATATCTTCTCCGCCATACCTTATAAATCCCAATGGAATGTTGTTGGAATCAGTTCTTTTCAATTTTTAAGGTTTCTTATATTTACTTTCTGTAGAATTGGGAGATATTAAACCATTTAACAGATAAATAAAATCTACCTTCCATAAACAAACAAACAAAATACAGTTTATTATCTTCTTTTCTGGTTCCATAAGCATTGTACTCACACCATTTTTTACAGTTTTTAAGTTGAGATTAAATCACCGGTATAAGACACAACGTTTTAAGTATCCAAAAAACCGGAATTATACTTCAAATATAATGTATTTACTAACATACTTGACCAAGCAATATCTTTTATTTCTGAACATTTTGAAAAAAAAAAAACAATAATTTAATGATACTTGGAGGGTTATTGTTTAGAATTAAAAAACAATAAAACCAAAGATCTCTTAAAATTGTGTAATCTACATTTTAAACAAGCGATGAAACAGAATGTGATTTAAATTAGATTTGAGTAATGAAATTAAGACTGTAAGATTATGATATTAAAAAAAAAAAAAATAGCACCCCAGTAGACATTCTATCACATATTAATGATACCAATTTACAAGATATTTTAGCAAACTTATGGGTCGCTTTTAGAATTATGATAATAATTCCAGTAATGACTGCAAGTTGTGGAAGCAGTTTTAACAAGTTAAAGTTAATGAAAAGGTATTTAATGACGGAAGAATGTTTCAATAATTTGGCATTAGCCAGTATTGAAAATGAAATATAGTTACTACATTAGATCACAATGAACAAATAACACAGTTTGCTGATTTTAAATCAAGAAAAAAATGTTTAAAATAATAAGAGTGTGTAATAATAAATATAATCAAAATATGTATTACCTATTATAATTATTATTTAGCTTAATTTATTAAATACATAATAATATCATATTTATTGTTACTTATGTCCAAATTATTGGTTCCTTCATTTTATACATACATACATATAAGCAGTTCTAAACAAGATATGTATGAATTAAAGTAGATACTTAGTATAAATAGAGCACCTCTTAAACATGTACCTGAGGCGCCATAATATTTCAGGTTAAATTTGAGATTCTCATTGTTAATACGACTCTCGAATATCCAGGTTTTATATTATAATAAGAAAAACACCTGTAAGCAGTTATACAGCTCCATCACTAGAGATAAAAATTATTTTTCTTAATTTGTGTTATAGAAATATCTTTGCAAAACAATAAAATATATTCAAATACTATACTATACTACAACATTATACTATATTTTCAAAAAAGTTGTGAAATTTGATCATTACAAATGATTGAAGGGATTAAAAGTTTAAACCCAAGGACAATCTTCACTATTTTCTAGAACACTTCCAGTTATTATTATATTTTAAGTACAAGCCAAAAATAGATACAATTATATATTTAAACAATATATTATGAAGCTGTTCGCACTATATAGAAAAAAATGTCATCTTATTTCAATTCCTTCAACATTGAATTATAAATTTATCACCACCAGACCACCTATTGATGTACAATTAAAATTGTTTCCAATTGCCACTATTCCCATTTGACCCCACTTGACCCTAATAGATGAGAATTTTTTTTCCGTAATACTTAATTTGAACAAAATTTCTAGTTTCCCAATACTTTACTATACACATATACACATTTTTTAAAAATAATATCAAATGTCATTCTATTGGTTTTATTTTTGTTGATTTCTGGGTTGCCTTAGCTTACAAATAAAATACTATTCATTGTTTAAATAACTGTGATTTAATATTCTTGTGAACATTTTAAAAAAATTTTTTACATTTTTGAAAATTCCTTTTAAAGTTATATATAACTACATAATTTACTTATACTTTAAATAGTTTTAAATTAAATTTAGAAATTTTTTTTTCAATTCAAAAAATATACAATTAAAGTTATTAAATTTAAGAAAACCAATTAAGACATTTGTGTCACCTAACATTTACCATAGAAATTTACTCCTCTAGTTTCAAGTTTTGATTTTGGAGGGGTGTTATACTTATTAATTTATAGAATATCTGTATATTATTATTATTATTATTATTAATTACATATTATGATGTTACATAAATAGTGTTAAGTCAAAATTATAAGTTATACAAAAAAAAAATTAATTTTATACTTAATTAAAGAATATAGTAGGTAAGTAACTACCTACTTATTTTGTGATTTATAAAATTTAATTTATACAAACTATAATTTAGAATTCTTCAAAAACCTTTTAAAGTTATATGTATAATTAACAATTACATAATAAGAATATAAGTACTTTTTGTTTTCCAACATAACAATACCTATCTTATTCTTATGAATTTAAACATTATTCTTTTAAATACTATACGTAAAAAAAATAAAAAATCCATTGTACAAAATATAAAATTGACCAATTTTTACATACTTACAACTTATGGAGATGTAAAGTCAACATTCATTACAATGTAAATAAGATGATCATAACATTAAAGAATTTATAATTTGTAAAATAGAATATGAGATTTAAAATTTTGTTATTTGGTAGGTATACTAGGTAGTACCTATGTAGCATATTATAAAAGTATGAACATTGGCAAATACTATAGTAAATACCATAAAATATCAATTAATATCAAAATTATTATTTAAATATATTATGATTATTTTTAATTTTTATATTCAAGAACTTGGCTATTTTAAAATAAATATTAAATACTAAAATATCTACATAATAGAAATGTCTGTATACATTATACAGGTGTCACACAGAAATCTAATTTGTGTTATATTTAATATATTTATTTATTATTATTTTTTTTTTATAAATTCAAAACACTTGCACTATAATTCTTATATTTTATATTTTTAAAAACTAAAAATAAAAGAAAATGTATATAATGTAAAAAACTTGTTTTAAAAAAACTTATATTGGTACACAATTTTGTGTCAAACTCTAACTTTAATAATGGGAAAACAATCTCAAAATACTAAAAAATTATTTTATTTTATTAAAAATATATAAAATGTTTATTTGTGTAAGACCAGTCAATTTATAAGAAATCTGATTTTGGATTATTTCATTTTTCACCCCTTTTTTGAAGACACCTCATGACTTTTAGGAAGGTAAATGTAGGTAGAAAAATAATATTGAGGTTTTCTATTTTTACAGCCACTTAATACATAGTCTATAAATTAGAATTTCTATTTGTCTAGTTGTACTCCTTAAACAACTAGTTTTAGATACCTACCTATTATAGATAGCTATGTTACTGCAGGATCAAGTATTATGAGTTAGTAAAAAATGGTTGAAAAATACAAAATCTAATCACATATAAATTCTTTGGGTAAATACCAGAACAAATATTACAAAAGATGTTTTTCAATATATCTGCATTGTTTCTAATACCCAAGCTATAGGTAAGACGTCGAATGAGTCAATTTTTCAGGAGTCATCTTCTTTTTATGTTAGGTACAAAACTAATTAACATTTATCTTGAAAATAATAAATAATACTTGTAGACAAATTTCAGATTGTTGTACCTAGTCATTGAAAAGTAGTGTAAATAAAATCCAAAATTAGATCGCGTATAAATTATCTCAGTTGGATACCGAACAAATATTATACAAGATATTTGTCAATATTTTTAAAATGAGTTATCGTTATTCAAAATCCAAAATTCAACCCAATTTTGATTATACAAATGCTTACTAATAACAAATTGTTAATTTTCAAACAAATTTGGAAGTTGAGGCTAATTTAAATCGTTTTTATTTCCACTATTAAATAAATAGTATCAATTTTTCTATGAAAAAGTATTCATAGTAATACTGTAATATTTGTTATTATATTGGTGCATTAGTAATTATTATTTATCAATTATATTTAAATTATAATTTAGTGGTGGTAATAAAAAGAAAATCAAAATGTTTGTAATCATTAAAAAATTAACATCTCATCATAAGTAAACATCTAAGCACTAACATTTTGTTTCAAAATTATTTCATAAAATGATTAGGTATCTTAGATTTTATAAAACAACATTTTTTTCATTTAAAAAAAATAATAATTTATTTAAATTTTTTTGAAAAAAAATATAAGAATCATGACACAAGTTTCGAGTAATCATAAAAATAAAACTTAAAAATATTAAACGAAATGAAATTTACTGCATAGGTATTACATTAGGACATCATTTCTGTAAATATAAATTTTGGTGAGTGAAGAACTGGTCCCCACGAAAAAAAACACTGTACACGGATAATCAGCCTCCATCATAATTTTTTATATGACAAAAATGGTCCCCAGCCAATTTTTTTTATAAATGTATAAATGTAGGATATTGTTGTTAAAAATCATATTTCTGTTTTTTATTTCAAAATGTTAAAATAATAATCTAAATAAGTATTCTATGTAAAAATCATATAAATCTAAAATAAGTAAATATTAGAAGTATTTTTACTGTTCTATTTAATATTTTTTTTAAACTATTATTCAAAGTATATTATATTATTATATTACATTTTTTAAGTTTCAAAAAAGTCTATGTACATTTTTAAAAATTAAGTGTTTTATAATATGTATCAATATAAAAAAAAAAAATGTTTATTATTGCCTTTTTTATTATCTGATTATATAGTTAGTGAAAGGACCAATTGTTGAAAAATTATGACAGGGATTGAATATCCACATACGGAGTTTTTCACAGTTTTTATAATTTTTGTAGCTTTAGGATTATTTGATCGATGTCTGGTGAATCATTTTTGTTTTCAAAATATTTTAAATAGTTTAGGTATTTTTTGGACATCAGAATATTATTAGGATCCTTGCTGGCAGTTGGGTTCAATGATTTTTTTTTAGTTTGTAACGATTTAGTCAATGGGGCATGTTTAATAGGCCCTTTTAACTTACTTTGCATTTTCAATGAACTACTAATAAATCCCTTATGTGCTGTGAAGCGGACCAATTTGTGAGACGATGATAGGTCATTCGGTTTGTCTTTCTGTTCTACTTCAAACGATATTTTGGGAGTTATGTCTAGATGCATGTATTGAGAATGTGAATGTTCCATGTTTGCTGAATTATCCCCGACCATGTTCTTCGAGAAATCGAATTCCAACGCGACGGCTTCCAAAGTTTCAACATAATCATTTACGGTATCTAATTCCATAATGGCACTCCAGTAATTCTACTAGATAAACAGCCCTACAAAAAATAAAAAGAACAATAATAAACAACGCGCATAAATCACACCACTAAATGAATTCAAGGGAGAAAAAATGGTTTATCAATTATTTTACTTATACATACCAGCTTGCTACAAATAATACAATATTCCGGATTATAATACTGCGTGTGAAAAACACGAAACAAAATAATACACTACAAATTACTAAATAAAATAGTATAGTAAACTAAAAAATAGTTAATAATACTAATATAAATATTATAAACATTAGCATACATAACCTTAAAAAATAACGATAGACACAATATTATTGTAAGACAAATTTCTATTTTGCCGTTGACACACTGTACAACATTGCACAAACTAACAATTTGAGTATTCTCGTCTCTTTTTTTTCCACGCCTATCATGGGCTCTCTCTCAACGCGCTGACCATTAGTGAACTGACTGTCGACCTGTGTACAATGTGGTTGTCGTTGGTGTGTATCGTTTACCACCTGTAACCACTTGTTCGAAAATGATGAGAAAATGAACTCGAAAAATAAAGGTGATAAATTTCATACCTTTCCGAAATTTCCCAATATTTTATAAATACGCTTTTGCAATAATTTGTGGGTACGCATTGTTGCGATCTTTAATATTTTATTATAATCAAAGGTTGATTGATGACTTTATCGACCCGGGAAATTTAAATCAAACAGGCCCATAAACTATAGACGTAAATATTTTGGGGTACTAATAACACTATAGATACGTGGTAATAAAACATTACTATCTTCGGACACCCTCCCCTATTTATAAATCAAATAAACACACAGTCAAATTTTCACAAAATATCCAATATGTTTGTATGATATTTGATTTAATTGTCTACTGGTATTGCAAAGTTTCAATTTGTATATTATGAAAATTCTGGAATTGCAATTTTAAAACGATTAAGATAATTTTTACACAGGAAAATAGAAATATAAAATTTAGCATATTTTACTATTTAACACAAATAAGTCCTCTGATCATATACATAGCCCAGAGGATCTAAATAGCAAACAAGTTAAGATGATTTGACCATAGAAACAAGTATAATTCATAATAGGTGATTTTAAAGTACCTGGGTAATTTAATTATGTATTTTATTTTTCAATTTTTCCATTACAAATTATTATTGTAAAACGCTAAAACCGTAATTAATGACATTTAAAACACAATGTAATAGGTATTGAGTTTTTATTTATTATTGTTTTATGAATTGCATAATAATATTATAATAGCCAACATCAGGGGTGTCTAACCTACGGCCCACGGTAGATTTTAATATGTCCCTCACTTAAATTTCAAATAATCAATTTATTATATATTATGAGAAAAATGTATTTTAAGAATATAAAAACACAAAATATTAATAATTAAAAAAACTTTCAATATTACTTAACAGTATATTTCTACTATTATATGAAAATTTTATCTTTATTGGGATCCTATTGCGATAAAGAAACTTATTTAACTAAAATAATAATTAAATAATTCAATAATTTTAAAATTATTTTCTTTTAATCATAAAAAATCTTATTTTTTCTTGTAATTATAAACAAAATGTAATAGTCAGTCAAAATATTTCTACTCATTATTTACTATGGTAACAATTATAAATAAAATATATTAAATGTATGTGGCCCACAACAACTTCTACTTACATGATATGGTCCAGTCTTCACAAAAGGTTAGACAACCTTGGCCTACATGAAGACACACAATTACTGATGATGGTTATCTAAATATTCCTATTACTTAGATATATTTTTTTTTTCAACAGAAAAGGTGTTTTCTGTTAGTAAAACACTTAAAGTTATTTTCATAGTTTCTGATGCTGATTTGTTGGGTTTTTTATGAAGCTTTTTTTTATGTTTTCTAGTCTGTTAATTTTTTGAAAATTATTGTACCAACTAATTTTTGACCAATTTCTGTTTTTTGTTAATGTTTGCTATTGCTAACCCACAAAGACTTTTTTCTGTTATGGTTGATCGTTAATATGATTTTAAATGTTTCAACGTTGAACATTTTGTAGCAAACAGTTCTAATAACATTTTTCGGAAATAAATGTTTACAATAAGGTATATATTTTAGATTCTGAGGGTATCGAAGAATGTATTGGTTTTACTAAGATGTTTATTTATTTTTATTTTTTTTATTCTGTGTACAAAAATTCTACCAAAAATCTTACTCAGATATATATGCTCGGCACCATTTCTGAATTCAGAATTTTGTCCAAATGGTATTTTTAGGAAGTCATATTTTAATTTTCCAAACGGTTTTCATAATATCTGGGAAAACGTGAGAAAGACGAGAAATTTACGAAAATAATGCTTTTATTATTTTTATTATTTATAATCGTTTTAAGATTAAATTATTATGATAATCGTACATTCTACAACATTTTAAAACATGTATAACTGAACATCGCTCAGAATTGTATTTTGTTAGCAATGGTTTATCGTTGATTATAGATATAAATTAAACAACTTTATGTATCCTCATTTCTCAACTTTTTTGTTCGAAATTATAGTATACCTAAACTCTATAGCTATAATATTAATATTTAATTTGGAACTACCAAAAATTAGATTACCCCAGTTGGCCCACTCGAAGAAATATCAATCAAAATAAATTATTTAAATACATTCGTTCAATTATGATTGTATTTAATAGAAAATCATATTTTGTTTAACATTTTTCAGTATTGCCTGTAGATTTAAAAATATTAATTAATTCACGATACGAAAATCGTATGGCTAATAGATAAGTATATGTATATATATTTTTGATTAAACGACTTATTGTGCATTTTATCGTGCCTACGATGAAAAATTAATTTTTTTTTTTTATTAACAAATCACTGCACCTTCATCTAACCTTTATCTGATACCTACAGGTACATAGCCATATAGGTATAAATTATAATTAACTCGGCCAATGGCAAATGGGTGTGCCGTTTTCACAAAAAAAAAAAAATAGTATAATATTATGATATTGGTTTTATTTCGTGTATCATCGTACACCTATCTTCGTGTAAAGTTAATTAAAAACTTCGTTTATTTTACATTCAAAATTATTTTAACCGTCATATTAACGATAATTCGCAGCAACTCATCGCCGTATAAATTATAGGTAAGGTAACTTATACCATTATCTACCGGCAAACCTGTATTTCCACAATCAGCATAATATATTATTATTTTATATTTGTTTTGGGCATTAAAATGTGATACCCATTTAATTTAATTTTCTAATACCTAACCAAAGCCGTAGTCTCGCGAGACGTTTACGCGTTCAATAATTTATTATTCCCATCAGATAGTGTGCGTATTGGTCAAAACCAATCGGCAATATTCTGTACATTTTCTTCCAAGCTATATTATAATACTGTATAATATACAGGCAATTAATTATTAGCTGTGCGTTTCCACGAACACTTATTGGAAAACGATCGTAAATTCGTTAGTTTCTCGACTGCTGCTACCAGTCACAACTCACAATTCGGTTATTTAATAAATACGAAACCCACATAACGAATTTTGAATAACGACTACAATATAAGATTTTGAATGGAACGAGAAATGTACATTGATTCTACAATGATATTTACGATTTTTTTTTTTTTTGTCTGTGTGAACAACTTTTCTATCAGAAATTTTGTACCGATCAAAAAAGACAAATGATCTTTTTGAGAGTTTCTGGAAAAAAATTTTGTGTAGTCGGTATACGTAACAAGCCGTTTTTTTTAATTTCCATCGTACTTTTCTTAATAGTACCAAGGGTATAGTAAATCGTAGGAAAAGCGAACTAGTTTGTAGCATTAACGGTGTCATATTTTCGAGTTTCCTTTTTTTTGTTATAAACCAGTTAAGTATAATCACAGAGAGGTTACATTTTCACAAAATACTTAATAGGTATTCGCTACTTTTATTGTCATAAGTCATTTGACATTTTCGAGTTTTTAAGTTTTTATCTGTATGGTATTATATGGATAAAATGGTTTGATCAAATAGAAATGCTTGTTTTACACATGTTCTTTTAAAAAATAATAAACATTTAGCGTCATGTTGTAAATTTTTTGTATAAACATTTTAATATTGAAATTTGTTGAAAATCGTAAAAATTACGAAATTTTTACTGAACTATAATCGAGTTTAATTGAGAATCGTTTTTCGTTAGTAATGATGTATCATTGTTTATAGACATAAATTAAATAACTTTATGTATCCTACCGTTCCCTAGTTCCCGCCTACAACAGTAGCACATCCGAACCCAGTTCATTTAAAATAATTAGTCACGGACGAAAATAATACCAATTCATTAAGATTTTAATTGCACACGGTAATTTTGATGGATTCATGATTATTAAAATTGCTATAAATTCAACAGATAATAGTTAAGTGTTCTAAATAGCTTTAAAAAAAATAGTTTGGTATATACATTAAAGATATTCAAGTACACAAAATAATGTAAACTACTAACAATGATTAATTTGTAAAATAATAAATACACGGTATTTCAGACCGTGGCGCGACTGATGGCATGGCTAATATAAACACATAATTTAATTTTAATTACACAAATAATGGTGCCATATTTCATCAGCCAAATGGCCTTTACTTAAAAACTTTTATTAAAATTAAGTAGTGCAATCACACACCCCGACCCCTTCCCTCAAATGACGCCACTGAAACTAATTTAACCTACCCGAACTATTTATAATAGACAACTAGGTACTGTTACTTACGACTTATGAATATAAAATTATTAACCGATTTAGTTTACTGCACAATTCGATTAGCTGGTTGTTTTAAATTTTTCAAACGTACTAGGTAGGTTAGGCGAGTTGGTATTTTTTTTCCACGCGTGAGACGAATGCACAAAATGAATATTATATTTTAAAAAAACCCAAGGCGAAATGTTTATTTAATAAATTGCGGGCCATCTGCATTT